GTGGGGGCTGGGAGAGCAGGACATTGACAGATGCTTTTAAGTATTTGAAGGGTTGATATGAAGAAAAGGGTTTGATCTACTTGGCCTCACAGGGCAAAACAGAAGCAGTTGGGGAAATTGGTGAGAGGAAAACATGTTCAATATCAATTGTGAATTACAGCTCTCCAGAGGTATAATGGGCTGCCTCATTAGAGTCAATCCCTCTTTATTGTAGGTCTGTAACTGTGAGGAATATTTCTGAGGGGACCCAGATCTGGGTCATATTAAGTGAGCTCTGTGATTCCTACCAACTCTAAGATTCTATGATTGCATGATCCTTGATTTCAAGGTTTTTATTTTTGCCTTTTGGTGTAAAGTATACTTAGGTGTACATCTGGACGTTTAATAGATGAATGTTTGCTAAGTGAATTGGTGAATGAATGCAAGATGAATATCATCATTGCAGTAATTGAGGCTTTTTTACTTGACGTGGTTCTAAAAAGCAACTAAAGTATAAAGTCATTTTTTATGATCACTTGAAGTGAGGAAGGGAAGCATATATTCTGCCAATGGAAGAGGCTTTCCTCAAAAAGGGTAGAGCAATGTGTTGAATATTTAATATTTGTGGGCAGTGTTTCTTCAATGAAGTAAATTAAAGAAAATTGAATAAAAGAATTATTCGGGGAGAGGGAAGAGTCGGGAAGGGATCCTGATGCAACCCTCTGCATCCTGCATGTGAGACTATGAAAGCTAAGATCACTCTTAACACGTAGGGGTGGGGGCAAAGAAAAGGGAGACATATTAATGGCAAGTTTAGAATTGGCCTCCTCATTCCCCAGGGTTACAATTCCTTTGAAAGAAGGAATTCTCCTTTACTTTTTTAGAGAAACGGAGCCAGGTTCTTCCTGGGAGTGTCCATATAACCTTCCATGATTACTTTTCAGTGTGGTGAAGATTTTAAAGAATCTTTAGTCCCATTAGTCAAAGTACTCTGTCAATGAAGGCCATAGTCACTCCTTGTAATATTGACTTGTATAGTTCTCTGTAAATACCCATAAACCCTTCATAGAAAATCTAACTCAACAATCCAGCCTAATGGTGGCTTTCTTGTGGTTATTTTTAATGGTTTTTGTATATTGCTTCAGTAGTCCCTTACTGTTACTCCCCTGCTGTAAACTTGCCTCTTTTCGGTCATATATACTCTCTTGATAATGTCTTTTAGGTTACTTCTTCCATATATGTTATCATCAGTAATGTGTTTCAGTCTGCTTATGCCCATCATGCCTCTTTCTTCTAGAATTTAGACCTACACATACATAGGAGAGTTAGAAAGGGGAACCACAAAATTTCTAAGTAGATACAGATTTGAATTTTATTAGCTTGTTTTTTTTTTAATTCTCTATAGCTTATTTCTTGAGAATTTCACTGTTTTATTTCCAAGGATATTTCTATTTAGCAGAATGGGTGATTTTTTCTGTGTGTGTGTGTGTGTGTGTGTGTGTGTGTGTGTGTGTGTGTGTGTGCATGTATATGTGTGTTTATTTCCAGAATCTTCATAAATTCAGCTGCTTATACACAAGGAGACTGTAGAGTTGCGGACCCTCTGATGAACTTATATATGATTAACTGAACCTGTCACCTGGATTACAGAGAATTTAAAATGGCAGTAGATTTAGAGATCAGACCTTGGAATCAGGAAGACCTGGGCTCATGTGGCCATGTGAAAATCATTTAAGTCTTAGCTGCCTCCAGGTAACTTGAAGACCACAAATGTCAGAAAAGTTCCCAGTTAGCCTGGTCCTCCTCATTCTGGGTCTAGAATCAAACAACCTGCTTTTAGATTCCAGTTGTGAACCCTGATACATGTGTAACCTTAGGGCAACAATTAAACCTTTCAGTGCCTTAGTTAACTCATCTGTAAAGTGTAGAAGTTGCACTAGAGGAACTCTTAGGTCTATTCCAACCCTAGATCTTAGATACTATCATTGATCAAGGGGATTTATATACTAAGGTTGCCCCAAACTAATGAAAGCACAAATCCACACACACATACATGTTCTCTCTAAAGAGGAAAAATTGGTGAAGCTACTAAAGCTAAAAATTATATTCTATTTTCAGATTACATTATTTAGATTGTCTTGCATCTCTAAAGATAAGTTCAAATATGCAATTCTGGGGGTATTGTATCATAAAATGCATGTCCTTGTAAAGCTGGCCTTTGCTCACAGTTAATCTCTCAAAGTTAAATTGACTTCTCTGTGTGTGAATGGGGATGTGGGGACTTGATGAGAAGATTCAGAGCCACCTCAAATGAAGATTTCTTGAAGTAATTGGAAATATTTAGCCTTGGGAATTGAAGATATAAGGTGGATATGACTACCACTTGACACTTTTTTTAGGATCATAGTTTTAGAGTTGAAAGGGACCTTGGAGATTGTCAAGTCCAAACTCTTCTAATTTTACAGGTGAGGAAAATTTAGCACAGAGAGGTAAAGTGATGCTCAGTGTCAAACAGCTTCTAAGTATCTGAGTTAGGATTCAAACCCAGGTCTTCCAGATTCCAGGCCTAGCATTCTACCCAACATTGAACCCTGGTGAAGCTTGGTTATAGAGAAAAGAGATTAGGGGCAGCTAGGTGGTACAGTGGATAGAGCACTGGCCTTGAAGTCAGGAGGACCTGAGTTCAAATCTGGCCTCAGACCAAACACTTCACACTCACTAGCTGTGTGACCCTGGGCAAATCACTTAACCCCAATTGCCTAAAAAAAAATAAAAGAAAAGAGATTATCATTCTTTATGACCTCAAAGAGGAATACTAGGACCAATCAGTAGAATATTCTTTATATTGTTTTAATTTAAAGAAAATCTTTCCAGTACTATAACTATCAATTATTAAATGCCTACTGTTTGCAAAACACTATGATAGCCACGTGTGAGAACATTCCCTGTCATTAAAGTTTATGTTGTTCTGGAGAAGACATGTAAAAAAGAAGTGAATACATCTTTACAAAAAGTGGGAAAGAGAATTAATGACCTAGACATGCAATATTTCTAGTAAGGAGCAGTACTTCAGCTAAACTTTGATAGATGCTTCAGATACTAAGAAATGGAGATGGGCATTGGGGACAGTCAATGCAGATGTACAGAGGCCCAAGTTGACTAGTTCAGCTAGAAAATAGAATATATAAAGGGGAGTGACATGAAATATCTATAAAGGTAAATAATGATAACCATCAAATGCCACACTAAGAAATTTATATTTTATTTAAGAGGCAAACAGGAGCCCCAGAAGGTTCTTGAGAAGGGGAGTAGCAAGGTCAGACTTTTGTCTCAGGATGATTGCCTAGGCTGTGTGTGGATAATGAATTAGAAAGGAAAATGCTGGGGGCAGCTAGGTGGCACAGTGGATAGAGCACTGGCCCTGGAGTCAGGAGGACCTGAGTTGAAATCCAGCCTCAGACACATAACACTTACTAGCTGTGTGACCCTGGGCAAGTCACATAACTGTAATTGCCTCACAAAAAAAAAAAGAAGGAAAGAAAAGGAAAACACTTTCAGCAGGAGCAAGCAGGAGACTATTATGTGGTCCAAGTGAGAAGTGATAAGGGCCCAGATTAGGTTGCTGTCTTTGTGAATGGTGAGAAGGGAACATATAGGAGAGATATTGATGAGATAAAATCAACAAGACTTGAAAGCTAATAAAATAAGACAGATGGGGAGGAAGAAGAAAGGAAGGAATCAAAGAAAACTTTGTCTAAGAATAATATAGTCTGTTTTTGATATGAGTTTCCTGTTACCTAAACTGAATTACTTCCTATCCTTCATTCCCATCCAAAGGTCCATCCATCATCTCTTTACCTTTATGCTGGCCATTTCCTTTTGGCTTGAGCATAAAGCTACATGTTCAAAAATGCCCATCTCCTTTCAAGCCTCGACTTTGATGTATATTAACTTCCAATGTATATATTGGGTCTTTCCTGATTTATTCACTCCTTCCCCTCCCCAGTGTCCTCAAGGATGTTTCTAGTACCTTCTCAACCCCTTAAAAAAATTATATGTGTATATGTATCCATAGACACACATATGTGAATATATGTATGTGTGTGTATATATATATGTATATATATATATATATGTATATATATGAATATATGTATGTGTGTGTATATATATATGTATATATATAATATTTGGCATGCATACATATGTATAGTACATAGTATGTGGTATATATATGAAGTATAAGACATATATATATATATATATATATAGTATATGGTGTGTGTATATATGGCTTGTATAGAAATATTGTAGCTGGACTCGGAAGGAAATAGATTTTGCGTGACTTCATATGTACAATAGGGATCTAATTTTTTGTCTACTCCATGGTTGGGGGGGGGAGGTGGCAGCAGAAAGATAATTTGAAACTGAAAATAAAAATAAAATTTAAAAAACTTTTAAAAGACAACACTAAGTGTGGTGATGCTAACCACAAAGTTTTGACTATTTCTGGCCCCAGTAATTCATGAAGCCAGCGGACTAATGCATGGAGTGGTTGTGATCTCACAGGATAAGCACATTATTAGGACTGGAAAGAAATCTCCAGATGATGTTGGAAACAAATTAGTGTTTCATTTAGTTCAAGCCTTAGATTAGTTTTGTTTCATTTGATGGGGCAATTTAGATCCATTCCTGTGATTTTATTACATAGCAAATTTCTGGTACAGAAATTGTCTTGAGTAATGCAAATCATTGTCTCCTCTGCAACTTGTTGTTTTAGAGAGCTTTTTGGGGCACCAAGAGATAAAGTGAGTTGCCCAGACCTCCATAGCAAATACACAGTCAGAGGCAGTATCTGAACCTGAGAATTCTTCACTGCAAGGTTAGCTTGCCATTCGCCATGCCCTGCTGTCCCTAGCTCCCTGGTTAATACAACTCCTAACTATTTTTTTAAGGACACTCATAGTTTTGTTTCCTGGTTACATTTCTTGCTATTCATGTTTTGCATTTGGGCTTTTCAGGTATGAACATGAACAAGAATGAAATACAGAAAGAACAGCCTTTAAAGCCTTCCAGGAGTCAGACTCATCCCCAGAATCTGAGTAAACATTCTTCATGTAATTTCCCAAATCAGATACAACCACAACCTTCAAGCCCAGGACCATCAGCTGCTCATAAAATAGCAGATCATGGTAAGCTACTTATCTTTGGCTTGGGAGACTGAAAGAAAAAGTTCTAGCCAAGGTGATGATGGGTTCCTGTAAACTGTCTGAAGATCACAGGTCAACAGCAGTCCTAAGGTCAATTGGAGGTATCATATGTTCAGAGGAATATTAACAATCTTGTACACTAAAGACTTCTAAAAACCCCACTATGGCCCAGAAGTAAATCTGCATTCTTGAAATTTGGGCCCAGTAGCTCCAAAGTTTGGTTTGGTTATACAAAGCTAGAAAGTCTCAAAAGATAGGGTCATAAATGAATTGTATGCTTATTCTCTGACTACCAGCCTAACTTAGTGTAAATGTGAGCCTTTCAAAAGACTGCCTAGTTAGTGATTTTTTTTCATCTGTGGCAATTAATGAAAATTATCCACTAAGGTGTGAAAGGATTGCTACCTACATGAGTTGATGGAGCACCTGCATTGATGAAATCATAGATCCTTGGCATAGAACAGAGGTTCTTAGCTTTTTTTTTTTTAATCATGGATGGATACCTTTGCCAGTCTAATGAAGTCTATGGATTCCTTCACAGAATAATGTTGGTTGCCTATGTTCATAAGTGATGGAAATGTTAATTTTAAGTTAGAGGTTAATGAAGATAAAGATGTCATTCTAATTTCATTTAATGTTCTATTTGTGGGCCTCTTGGAGAGCTGTACTCCAAGTTAAACACCCCTGATGTAGTAAGTTCAGGGGAAGGTGACCAGAGTAGTAAAAGGCTTAAAAACTATGACAGATATTTGAAAGTTTATTGGGTGAAAGAGCCCTGGTAAACTTTCATTTTAAAGGCAAGTTACACATGGACAGAGTGTGGCTCAACACAGCATTATAAGATATTGCTGATGGAAAAGACCCTAGAAGCAATCTAATCCAATTCCCTTGGAAAGCTTAAGTGACTCATAATTCCCACTTAATTGTCTTATAATTCCCACGTTATTAAGTATCAGAGCTGAGCTTCAAAATGAGGTCCTTTAACTCATCTCCCCACTTTCTATTGTAATATAGCATAAGGGAGTTCTTTCTTACAACTGGGGACTACAACAAGGGAAGGTACCATGTTAAGGAAATAATGATTCCTGTAATTAAGTGGATTCAGTCTGAATGACTCCTCAACATTAGTTCTGAAGAACAGATTAAACAAACTGCTATATCCCTCCCAACTCTACGATTCTGTGGTGATTATTTAGTCATTTTCTCAGTTCTCTTTTAGTATTCCTTTGAAATGTTTGATATATGTGGAATATACTGATACATACCTGTTGATAAGAATATATACTTTTAGTATAGTAGAATAGCATAGTGCATATATCATCTCTCCTCTGGTCCTCCACTTTTCCAATTTCATCCTATTGGGTTTTTCAGGGCAGAGATTGTTTTTGCTTATTCTTTGTATCTGGAGCACACAGCACATTGACCCTAGGCCTGTCTCCTATCTTACATATAAATGCTGGTTTTGTGATCCTGAGTAAGTCATTTACCTCCTCAGTACCCACAGGCTACCTTTCAAGACTCTAAGTTAAGAGTAGGCACATTTACATTCTTATAAGGAGTTTTCCTCACTGAGAGTTCCCTATACCAGTGAAATCACAGGTCTATTTTTTTTAAATAGGAGGAATTTATTCTTATTAGTTAGACTTCTTTAAAGGCCAGCAAGGCTAAGACTGAAAATGCAGGTGTGCCATCATTGTTAGTACCAGTTATCTCTGACCATAGCTCCATGCCTCTCCTCCAGTGAGAGTCAATTCCAAGATAGAATATCTTCTGGAATTGTGTGCTTAAGTATTTAATGGGAGTCGGTGAGTGGGGGATAATACAGGAAGCAAATTCAAATTGCAGATCTGAGTCTCTAACAGGACACTCCTACTCCTCCTTTGACTACTTCTGGCAAATCACATTTAGCTAATGAGAAATGTTGGCCTGCAAGTGGATTTTTGGTATCACAAATGCGGTTGTTCTACTACATGGCCCTCCATACCATCCATCCTCACCTTGTAGGCTCCAACGCTCATCTCTTCCTCTAGATGGGAAGCAGCATGGGCTAAGAGGTAGCCCCCACTGCAGAGTCCGAGTTGGCAACTGTGTCAGACTGAGAGATTGAGAGTTTAGTGTAGCAAATGAGCCAGTGGAGCATTGAGGGGGCTGATTCTAGGGACAATAATGAGTTGGTGAATAGGGTAGCTGAGAACCATTACATTCTGGCTTAATTTAGGACACTTTCCTACTCATAAGTGAAGCCATCAATAGTTGATTATGGTAAAGCTATTTTAGTATAACATGCAATCCTTCCTCTGTTATTGATCATTTAATTCTTAGTAATTTGCTTTGATGGAAGGTCTACAAAAATCTTTCCTATAGTCTCCCTTATTAGAATAGTAGCTATAATGACTCAAACCTTCATTTTTTGTGCATAAGTATAAGTACATGTTGATTTCCCCAGATAAAATGTAAGCCTCTGCTCTATCAACTCTTATACCTCCCTAATGCCTCTACATTAATTATTTACTACTTTGTTTAGCTCTATTATGGCTTGAAGCTATCTTTCCAGCTTCACTGGGCATTATTCTCACTCTCTCACTCTCATCCAACCAAACTGACTTGCTCCGTGTTCCTCACATACAACAGTCTAACAACCATCTTTGCCATTTATGCTGGCCATTCTCCAAAGCTAGGCTGGGCTTCCTCCTCCCCTCTGCTCTGTAGAACCCCCCTCTTCCTTCAAGATGCAGCCTAAGCATTGCTTCATACGTGCAGTCTTTCCTGATCCCTCCAATAGCTAATGCCCCCCCAACCCAAACTACTGTGTTCTTATTTGTATGTATTTTCTTTATATTCTTTCTCTATATACTTACATGTATGTGTTTTCTGTCTTCATTAGAATGTAAGGAGCTGCTCGCCTGTAGTGACCGTTTCATTTGTATGTTACTGTTTGTATGTTTTCTCCCTCCTTAGAGGGTTCCTTGCACACTCAGTATTTAGCACAGTGCCTGGCACACAGTAGGAGCTTAATAAATGCTAGTTGACTAACTTCATACTAATTTCCCCTCCAACTAGCACAATGCCTGGCACATAGAAGGCATTTTTTTCCATTCTTGTTTTTCAATTGATTCCTGATCTTGTTTTCTGAAGGCCTAAAGAAGGGTATATCTGTCCTTTTCAGGTAGGAAGATGGACAAGATAGAAAGCAATTTGTACAAGCTGTCTTCTTCAGCAATTAGTGATTCATGCTTAGGTAAGTTAATTTCTGAAATGCTACCTCCTGGTCCCCTTTCCATGTTGTCTGTGTTTTTAAAATCTTGATCATTTTTTTCTTTTTCAGTGACACACAATTGACTTTCAGGCATTTGACATTGAAACGTCAAATTCCAACACTTGAATGTCAATTCTTCATCATTTATATTTTGTGCTCTGGCTTTATTATCTATAGGGCAGGTCTTTGGATTAGTTAAATGATTTATGTCAGGCAAAAGGTCTTTGATTGAACTGACCTATTCACTCTGGTGTTATTGTGTAGACAAAACTCAGGGGTAAATCTCTTAATACCTCTGTCATCTCCAGACAATCGACTGTATGCCATCTTGTCCCCCTTCCCCTCTGGGTTAGGGGAGGGGGTAGGCAAAAGTGGTTGGAGACTTATATGTATTTCTAATGATGAAAAATATTGAGTGTTTTCCTGCTGCAGTCAAGCCTTAACTATTCCTTCTCTAAGAAGTCTTCAGAATAGTCTTTTAATTTTGCTTGTATTGTAATGAAAGATTGTGTTGTGGCATGGCCAGTCAGATCCAGAGATAGAATTCTGACTACAGGGACAGCCTTTCAAAAAAAAAAAAACTCACTGCAGTTAATCTTTCACCAAGACTGCTGTGGAAGTCAGCTTTTAATTTCAAATTGTTCTGAGATAAGATAAGATTTACCCCCTCAGTGCTGGGGATGGTTTGCCCCAACCCTTCTGGGGAAGAGATACTACCTCTAAAGGAATGATGAGTTAAGAGATACTCTCATTAAGGGAACAATGAGTTCTGATAACAGTGAAGTACCAAAGAGGGCTTCTGGTAATAGTAAAATACTAAAGGATTTCCCCTTGGAAAAAATTGGTGTGAGACTAAGGAAAGAGGTAGAGCTCTCAAATTAAGCTAATATATACAAATCCAAATGGGTCCCCACATTGGCCTAAAGAAGGGATTTTTGATTATGGTGAATTAAAGGCTTTAAGATTAGATTTTCAGTAGGTGATAACAAGGCTAACAAGTATGTGTTTATCCTATTGTTTTGACTGTGTTTTTATTTCTTTGTAAAATGCTCAGAGGGCAGCCAGGTGGTATAATGAGTAGAGTGCTGGGCCTGAAGTCAGGAAGATTCATCTTCCTGAGTTCAAATCTGGACTCAGACACTTATTAACTGTATGACCCTGGTCAAGTCACTTAACACTGTTTGCCTCAGTTCCTCATCTGTAAAATGAGCTGGAGAAGGAAATGGCAAACCATTCCAGTATCCTTGCCAAGATAAAACAACTAAACAACAACAACCACAAAATGCTCCGAAAACAAAAGCCTTTATTTTATGTCATGGTCAGTGGCTATTTTTCTTTTTTCTTTCCTTTTCTTTTCTTTGTTGTTTTGTTTTTGTTTTGTAGATTCTGCTCCCTTGAAAAATTTCTAAGGGAAAATTGTAGCCAGCCAGAAGACTGAAAAAAAGCTGCAGCCGAAGAGTTTAGTATTTTGAGGAAGATGAATGAAGTGTAATACTTGAAGTAGCTCTTCTGGGTGGCTTGCCAAAAATGGGATGGGTCAAGGATGAAATAACTGAGGAAACAAAGGTTTATGCTCCCAAGCATATGGATTTATTAAGCAATGTGTGCCAATTGCATTTCAAATCAGGAGCAGGCTACCTCAGTTTGGTACTGGACCCCAAATGTAGGAGGAGACATCTCTATGCATCAAAACATAACAATAAGTAAAATACAAAATAGGATTATAATTAGGTAATCTGATTTCTAATTGGAGGAAAGAATAGGGGCTGTCTCAGTTGGGAAAGTGAAAACAAACAGGTGCAATTCCATGAAATCAGAAGAAGAGGAATCTTACTCCCTTCAAGTGTCTGTATTCAATAAAAAAAAATAGAAATATTAATGGATTGACCAGTACAAGGCCAGTTTTCAGATAAGGTAAGTGGGTTGCTTGAGATGTATAATTGTGAGAAAATTCCTTGTCTCAGTCTTCAGATCTGAGTGGGTTTTTGGTCAGCATAATCTAGGTTCTTAGTTAAGGGATATCTAAGCAACAGGTATAGGAGGTCTGGCTTCCCATCCACACAGGGCTAGGTTCAAGCAACACAATAAAGTTTTCTCATAATTCCTGTCACCGAATAGTTTTCTCACAATGGACTGGACCCACAACTGAATAGAAAGGGAAGCGAGCTGGATCCAGAGTTAAGTCACAAGATGGAGTCAGTTTGGTTCACACAATTCCCTCAGTATCCAATCATCCCCCAAAAGATACGTGAGAAAATGATTTGTGTACAAAATTGCATGTGTGGTACTAATCATGTGTTAGGTAACATCCCTGCTACCATATTTCTTCTCATCCTATTCCTTATTCCAGCGTGATCATAAAATCCACTGTGTATATCTTTATTAATGTGGTAAACTGTTACTTTATTCTTCTAGATTATACTGCTCTTTGTTTTTCAAGTCTATACAATCCCAAGTCATACTTTGTCTTGTGAGTCCAGTAGAAGGCCTCATAAAGTGGTCCACCATTTGGGTGGAAAACATGATTGCCCATAAGACCATTGTGCCTGGAGATAGTGTAATTTCCCCTCCTAGGACCAGAAATTATAATATTGATTTGGCTACTCCACAAAATGCAGGATGCTGAGTCAATTCTCCACACAGGAAATAGCTAACCCTAAATAGAACTGGTCATTTGTGTTACTGTTTTAAAGCATGTGTGTCTGCGTTCTATTTCTGTCCACAATACCTTTGGAAGAAGTCCATGGTTTCTATGCCACTTTAAACACTAAGCATTCCTTTACATTTAGAATAGCTTAATTTTCACTCAAGTCCCATCATTTTATAAATCCCTCCCCCTTTTTCCCCATTTTAAACCTTGAGATTTTATTTTGATTGCATGCCCCCTAGAATACTTGGCTGTCCTGCAATTAATTCACCTATTAAGCTTCAAGGACTCCACCTATCTTTCACACCCATCAATGTCATGGTGTGATTTAAAAGAATGAGAAAGTTGGAAAGAAGGGAAATTTGAAGGACAAAGAACATGACCTTGGTTTTGAACACGTTGAGTTTCAGCTGTCATTGGGGCATTTCTTACTCAACCTTCCCTACCTTAGTGGTAGACAGAGCCCCAGCTACTATAGACTAAAGGAGATTTATTTGCATTTTAACAAAGTCAGGAAGCAATGAGAACTCCCGGGAACCACTAGAAACTTAAAGGAATCCATGGGGAACCACTAGAAACTTAAAGGAACCTACTATAACCCAGGTATATCCGAAGAGGCACTTTATACAAAACAAAGCCACTTTGGACATGTCAATTACTTCAGCCCTTCTTGGAATCTCAAATTCAAAGAGTCATGGAATAGAGACATAGAGATAGAGGGCACATCATAGACTATTTAGTCTAACTCCATCATTTTACAAATGAGCTGGAGAAGGCAATGGCAAACCACTCCAGTATCTTTGTGAAGAGGAGCTCAAATGGGGTCACAAAGAGTCAGATATGACTCAACATTAACAAATGTATGTATCATTTATATATAGATGTGTATATACACATATATAATATTTATATAATATCTGTGTTTTAGGGAGAATCCCTATTCTGTCTGTCCTTGTCTCCAGAAAGAATAATAACAGGAAATTAAAGGATCCTTGCTCCTCATCCCAGAGTTCCCGCCTATTGGCTGACATCATCTAGATGATGAATTTGATTGACACCATCTAGATAATGAATGTATCAGTCAGTTGCCCAATTGCCAAGAACTTCCTATGCTGGAAGCCTTATGTGAAGTGCTGAGGATGAAAGAAAGTAAAATACTTGGGAACATCTGTGCACACACAGTTCCTGCCTTTGAGAAACATGCATTTGAAGTTTTCCAAGGGGCAGCTAAGTGACGCAGTGAATAGAGCACCAGCCCTGAAGTCAGGAGGACCTGAGTTCAAATCCGGTCTCAGACCAAACACTTGACACTTCCTAGCTGTGTGACCCTGGCCAAGTCACTTAACCCCAACTGCCTTAAAAAAAATAAAAATAAAAAAAATGAAGTTTTCCAGAAGGAAATTGGAGGGAGGATGGAAAGGTGGAGCCTGGGGATAATTCAGCAATGTTGCGTAGAAGTCCAAAGATGCCAGTTTTCTCCCATCTACCTTCTGTATGTTGCCTAAATGGGCACGCAGAGATCATAGAAATGTGGAATCATAGCTTAGTATAGGAAAAGATTTAGATGTCCAAGAATCTTAGGTGTATGGACCAAGAGCTATAGGAACACGAGAAGCTATCTACTCCAGTCAGAGGATTTAACAGATGAGCAAATGGAGGTCCATTGAGGTTAAGGATGTGGCCAAAGCCACAAGGGTGATAAATTGCAATGTGGGGATTTTAGCCAGTTCCTTTTATTCCAAAGCCAATGTTCTTTCTCCAACACCATGCTGATTAAAAGTTAACCCTTTACCACTAACATAAAATGTGAAGTATAAGAATACCTAAGGTTTTTTTGTTATCAGATGATCATCAGGGCTCTAATGATCCCCAAGCTACAAAAATACTTCTCTTAACCTTCCCTTGCCAAAACATGAAATAATCTTTACTTATTTCCATTAAAATTGTTTTCCCTCCTCATTGCACATTGTAGTAGCAGGAAAACCATCTTAGATTACTACAATAATTTATTTAAAGCTTTTTGAGATGGTGAAATGACTGTAAAGAATACTAGAAATAACTGAGTTATGTTGGCTCACTTAACATCATGTATGTGGAAGATTCTGCTCCTTTCACTTTGAAAAAGAAATTGGATTAAGTAGGGAAGAGATCACAAAATATTCAGAAAAATAAGAGATAATGCCTCATGAATGTGAGTAAATTAAACTGGAAAAGGAGCTTAATTGACCATTTGTTCAGAGCCATAACTGGGGCATATTGACCAGGAATTTGCCACGGGTTGCTGAACTGAGAAAGGAATGAAAATATATGCAGTGCTTCAACAGCACAGAAATAA